TGCTGCCTGTTATGGTTTGCTCCCATCCTGTATCCAAGCATTTCTAGAATTACTGTTTCTGTACTGTGTATCAGCTTATAAGTCTCAGTGATGGTTCCCGTATATATATATATATACCAAAGACCAAAAAAAAACATAAAATAGACAAAAACAGACTTTAGAAACCCCTGGTTTAAAGGGACATGTAGGACATTACACTTTTAGTCACCAGCCTTCAAAAATTAACAGAACGGCTGAGGATCAAACCCACGACCTTAAAACTGAGCCGTTTTCATCATATAACATCAGCCAGACGTTAAACGTTGTCAAAAGTCTTTTATAAAACTGAGCTATTGAGTTCAATTCAACTCAGTTTTATTTGTATAGCGCCAATTCATTACAAAAGTTATCTCAGGACAATTTTTCAAATAGAGCAGCTCTAGACCCAACTCCCTTATAACATAAGGGACAGAGACCCAACAGTACCACCATGAGCAAGCACTTAACGATGGCAGCAAGGAAAAACTTCCTTTTAAGAGGCAGAAACCTCGGACAGACCCCGGCTCTAGGTAAGTTGAGTTGGAGACACTTGAGCTGTTTCTAAGAACAAGCCTCAGTCAGAACAACCTGTAAGCAACCCACTGACACCCTGACTTACTTAACATCAGGATGTTAGTTGAATCACAAAAACATTTCATATACAAGATTTCTTAGCGTTCTGTTTATTATGTTACTATGGATACAATTAGATGAGTTTATGAACATGATCATTGTTGTGGACTACAACGTTTTTTCTCATCATTAGCAACAGATGAAATAAGCCAGAAACTGCTTGTTTCAGATTCAGTGTTCAGAGTACATTTGCAAGTATTTTACTTCATGCATAATAATTTATAATTGAATCATGAACGCATAATTAATGCTAAAGATGATCTATGACTAACTACTGTAGAAACATGGTGGGTCAACATAGCGGACTCTATTAAAGACGGCTCATTCTAAGGTAACGGAAATGTAACGATTCCTATATTAAAAAGGTAATTATACACTAATACCTATGAATGTTACATTCCATTTCTGCCAACAGATTCTCCTGAATGTTACACACTGGACCTTTAACATCATAAGCCAACAGAGGACCACCAGGCAATAGAAAATGTATTTTCAACTATTCAACTATTCGTGTTTACAGATAATCAGGAATCAAATCAAGACCAGAAGAGTTGATTAAGTTAGAAATAAATTGTATTATTGGGAAGCAAGTTCAAAGGTCATGTCAATGAATACATGTGATACCAAAAAGCACAGTTCCTGGAAAACAACTTAATAATGTAGACACCAATAAAACCAGAATAAAACGATCATGTGGCTTCATCTTAGCTGAAAAGAGAAAGCATGACTTATTTGAGTCTGTATCACAGTTTTGAACTGATTAGTGTTGGAAGTAATTGGCTCAACAAGCATCTCTGCAGCTTCATTTACTTCCACTTCTCTCACAAACACACTTGGGTTTTTTTTTACATAAGCGAGCTTCGTAAATCTTTTATTTCAAATGTTGTAAATAAAGGGTTTTACCCATGTGTGGACAGGCAAATATGGTCTCAGATTTCCCCTTGTTCCAAATCTTTTGTCGCAAACTGAACAACAAAATGGTTTCTCCCCAGTATGAATTCTCATATGTTGGGATAAATTGCTTTTGACACTGAAATTTGCTTTACAAATTGAGCATGTGAAAGGTTTCTCTCCTGTATGAAGTGTAAGGTCCATGCTGAGTTTTGTGAAAATCTTTTTCCACAGACAGAGCAACTGAATGGTTTGTCCCTGTGTGGACTTTCACATGTTGTCTCAAGTGTTCTTTTGGAGCAAATCTTGTACTACAGACAGAACAACTAAAGGGTTTATCTCCTGTATGCGTTCCCATGTGTTGTTACAAAGAGTTTCTGAGCCTGAAACCTGCTTTACAAACTGAGTATAAGGTTTTTCACCTGTATGGACGCTTAAGTGTGCCCCCAAACTTGAGCTGCGTGTGAATCCTTTCCCGCAGACAGAGCCTCTGGCTTCTGAACAGCGTCCAGTAGTTTGTATTGTTGCCAAAGTTCTACCTCGTACTCCACTACCGTCCTCTCAAACAGCTCATACGTAACGGGGAAAGTTCTTCTTCGTGTTTTTGGAGGATTGCAAGCTCACAGTTTAAGGTGCATACCGCCACACACCGTACCAGAGTATGTAGAGCACGCTCTAGTTAAGTTTACATTAATCTATAAAAATAAAATGAAAAAGATAAAACAACACCAACTACATTCTATCAATCCCTTCCTGAACACCTGTGTTCTGATGATTCAGCAGAATAAAACATCACCAAAGCAAACAATATAACACACAGCGGTTGCAGCCACAAACACACATATTAA